ACCTGTGCCAGGATTGGAACATTGCCCTTTAAAGACCACATTTGTAATGGTCTTGCCTGTTTTTCTCTGGTTCCTTTACGGCTCTATAGTCAATCTGTTCATTTATGCAAGACTTGAAAATGATTTTGTTGCCACAGCAGGGGAAGCCACAATACTTTGATTCCATTTTGTAAGTTTTTGTTTTCTTTCTTCATTTCCTTTTTATTTATTTTCCTCATAGGACTATTTTGGAAGGAGGTACTTGGGTTTGAATGTATTGGATGCATATGACCAGTTACCTGCTTCGTGTTCCTTTTTGAGTTTTTTATTTTTACAGTTTAATGATCAGAAATAGAATGATTTCCAGTCACCAGTTAGTTTTTTTTTTTTTTTTTACCAAAGCTGGAGTTTTTAGTGAGGTTGCAGGTAATAAGCAGATGACTAAGGCTGTCAGCAAGCACCCTTCTGAGCAGGATAACCTTGGGTTGTAGCCTGTAATTGCTTTGTAATTTGTGATCTCTAATTCAGGGCCAGGCTTCTGAAGCTTTGGTGCAAGGACTAGCTTTAAGGGTCTAAGCATACTAAGCTTGTTACGCGTTTCTGTTAAATGTTATACGTGTATCCCCTCCCAAATCCCAAGCCCTTGGAGCAAGTATAACAACTGGCAAGGGGTAAAATGAGCTCCGAAGCCAAATGCTGTGGATGGGGCGTCTACTCATTCTGGGATGGCCCGGTAACCTAAATACTTAGCAACAAACTAAAATAATTTATAATCTGTTCCTCTTTTTCATTCTTTAGCCTGATTAGTTGCTTTTATCAAATACATCTGGGTCAAGATCTTAAAGTTTTCCTCTGTGTTTTTATTTCTTTTCTTCCTATTTGAGATCATGAGTCCTTTGATCACTTTTCTCCTCGGGTTTTCCCCCCCCCCAAGCGTTTATTTTGTTTTATTTTATTTTATGTTGGAGTTACACAGAGAGAAGCAAGAGCTTTCATCCACTGGTTCACTCCCCAAATGGCCACCAAGGCCAGGGCTGGACCAGGCCAGAGGCAGGAACCTCATTCAGGCCTCTCACTTGGTGCAGGGGCCGAAACACCTGGGCCATCTTCCTCAGTTTCCCCAGGCACATTAGCAGACGGCCTGTGTCCCCTTGGATGCTGGTGTTGCACGGTGGTAGTTTAACCTGTTACGCCACATGCTGGCCCGCCCTCTTTTGGAAGTTGTGGGTTTAAGTTGTATAAAGTGCTGTCTTCACCAGATAGGCTCACTCAATACTTGTATGCATTTTCCTTTTTTTTTTTTTCCCTCAAATTCTGAAAAATTTAGGGTCCTTTGAGAAGTCCTCTCTAACTTTTCCCTGTGGCTGCTGGTGACTGACTGCTGGGGTGACAACTTTACCTTCCTCTGTGTTCTCAGGTGGAAAGGCTAACAGAGAAGTGACAATGTGGACAGTTCATTGTTCTCTGACTTGAACTAAAACCAACCAACTAGTATCCGAGAATACTTTGGACTTGGCTTACTGTGTATTTCCTCTTACTCTGTGGAGGTTGGACTTACCCCTGCTCATGGTAAAGACTGTTGAAAGGCAGGATGGCCCTAGAGGGTCTCCCCTAGGACGGTATGCTGTAGAAAACGGGCAGTGATACCTCCTCACAGTGTAGTTGCGAATTTTAAAAAAGTGAACTTTGGTAACCTCTAGCACAGTGCTGGCACATAGTAGGGTGTGTTAATTTCTTTCCCTTCCCTGCAGGCCATTCACCTGCTCTTCCCTCCACGATTTTCCATAACACAGTTTTTCCTTGGAACCAGCCTGCCAAGAATCTCAGTTGGGTTGTGTACTCCTACAACTACTCTTTTTGGCTTGACTTCCCTCTCCAGCTCCCAATGGTCCAGTCACACAGTCGCCTATTGTACCAGCTGGTTGATGTAAGTCTATGCATCCTCAGAGGAACCTGGTTACTTACCAGGAAGCTCCCTTTCTCTGAAAATGTAGCGTCCTTGATAGGCCAGCTACTTCCTCTCTCTATCATTGATGAAAAATGATTTTTTCATAAGTTTTCTGTGTGATCCTGAAGTTGGAACTAGAGTTAGAGAAATCAATTTGTTGATATAGACCTTACAGTTCCTCAGTCCAGGACACATGACTATGATCGGGTAAAATTTTGTGAGTACCTGTGAGGTCAAAATCCTTTTCACTGCTTTGAATGATACGAGACTTAACCCTGTAAACTGTCAAGGATGGTACATTCTCAAAGAAAAAAAAGTTGCTGTTAAGTAATTGGGAATTTTGATTTATTTTCCTTTAAGTCAAATAAGAATTCCCTAACTTGTTATTTTTTTCTTTTTTTAACAACAAATGCTTTTGCATTTGGATATGATTTTATGAATGAAAGGAATATGGTTATTAGCTAAGATTAACAGTTGAAGCATGGAATACTCTCTAGAGATACTGTAGAGATAGGAGGTGGGTAGAGCATTAGTTTTCTGAATAGGTGCTCTTAGCTTTAAACAGAAACTGAAGTTGAAAATCAACAAATGCAGTCCATTCAGTCCAGAAACATTTTTTGAGTGCCTACTTTTTGCTTCTTTGAGACACTGTGCTGAGTATTGTGCACTTTTACTCCGAGTCAGCGGCTCTTGCCCTCAGAGAGCTTACTTCCTGTCCCTCAACGACTCACGGGTGACGGAGAGTGGAGATGGAAGGGGTGGGGAGCAGCAGAGAGGTAGTTGGTAGGCAGTGGTTCTCGCCTGCTTCAGCCTATGCCTTCTGGATTTCTGTGCTTTCTTGGGTTCTTTCTGTTCCTAGGGAAACCAGCTGACGATTCAGTATACGGTGGAGCATTTCCTGGATTGCCAGAGTAAATAGATGAAGCAAATTGTGGTCCTTTTGTCTAGTTGAATATTTAACTGTTGAACCTTACACGTGACATTGGGTTAGATGTTAAGTAAGTCAGCCCGAGTTGGGAAGGCAGCTCTGACCCCAAACTTTAAAGGCAGCTCTTTCACAGAATTAAAACCACAGAATTAATTTATCCCCTTCTTCATATGTAGAGCAAACACTGCATTTTTTAAAAAATTGAAAATGATTTTGTTTGATAATGCTGAAGACACTTCATTCACTAATTATGACCAAGCCTTACCCCCAAATTTACTCAGTTAAAAATAATGAAGGGAGACTTGATGGTTATAGAAATAATAAGAGGAGGTTAGTACGGGAGTTAATCCTGTAGCAATGCCATATGTCTGTTTCATACAGATCTTACATGACTGTCTGTTACATTTCCCTATGAGCATTTCAGAGGCAAGAACTAACAGCCCAATAATAAACTCTTGGGTGATACAGTCAGATTTAGGCTTTAATTCTGGGTTTGTGGTTTGCTACCTCTGTGATTAGGGAAACTGTTTAAAATCTCTGCACCTCAGTCTGCTGATGGAAAAGTTCTGATACTAAAACTTCAATATCCTAGGGTTATAATGAAGAATAAGGATTATTTGCTGAAGGACTTAGCACAGTGCCTACCACACAGTAGGTGCTCAACAAATGTTACCTGCTCCTCTTGGGCAGATGGAGGAGAGGGTTATCTGAGGCCAGAGAGCAGGAAAGGGCAAGATTGCAAAGTGTGAGCCAGCGTGCGCAGCATCCGATGTAGACATCGGCTTTCTAGTGTTTTATCTTTGCCTTTGGAGAGTGAAGGTTAATGGATGAACCTTTGTCACAGTCCTTCCTAAGTACTCTGTCATTTAACCTTTGCTTCCACTAAGGAAGGAGTTACTGTTAAGCTGTAGTAACCATGATGATCGGGTGGTTACCCCACTCACCGCACGGGACAGCTGTGACCTTGTATGCCAAAGATTTCTACTACAATTTTGCTAAATCCATTTCTGCTATTTTTGCATCTAAATAAAAATTAAACATTTCATGTTTTTGTATATATAGACATGTAAATTTTTGTTTTATCGTATAACTTCAAATCTTTTTGCCTCAATTATTTTTGCAATGTTTTAATTATGAATAAAACGTCAAATTTTTTGTGAAGGCTCTGGAGACCTTTGACAGTAAGTAGTAGTGCTGCTTTAAGAAAAGGTGTGGGCTAGGTAGGATGGAAAGTGGTGGGGTACAGATTTTTGCCATATTTCATAGGAAAGGAAACATTTTTAACATGCAGCATACACAAATTAGAATCACTGTGCTAAGTTTGTCATAATTTGATTGGCAAATGATTTTGCCTTGGAATTAGTAACTTTGTGGATTGTGTGAAGTATGCTGTTTGAAGGAATTAGATGCCTGAAGTATAGAAATCATGTGTCATGGCAGGGTGTGCAGTGGTTGGGAGCCGGGCCCCAGTGTTAGGCTCTCGGGGTTTAAATTCTAGCCTTACCTAATACATTGCCTTGGGCAAATTTATCTTTCTTTAAACTGTAAAGTTCTCAACAAAATGAGTGCTAAGAATAGTTCCCATCTTAATAATATGATCAGGAGAACTGTTAGACATGTAAGATGGCTAAAATAGTGTCTTGTACACAGAAAATACTTAATAATATTGTCTATTGGAGATTTACAGAATTGATTTGAATCATTTTGTTGTGATTGAAGCTCAGATCTGTTAAGATTTGTATATCATCTGAAAACATCAGGAAATTGCAGTTGTTATTTTAAAATTACACAAAGAAAGGTAAACCTAAAAACGTTTCCTTACTATAAAGATTCAGTTGACTTTGGCATACATCTTACTATCCTTTGTGATTGAGGCAAAAGACAAATTAAGCAGGATCTAGGAAATGCCTGATAAAAATGTGGAGCAGTTAAGCAGATTGTTGAAGTTAACGCATGTAGCCTTTGGCTGTGGTTCTTGGTAAGTATGAGAAGATGGGCGAGGGCTGTGGCCGTTTGCACTTGCCCGAGTTGGTTCTGTGAGCCCTCATGTCCTAGCTAGCGGTGTTCTCTCTGGAGGTGAGGTGTGCAGGATTGCTGCCGGATGTGCGTTCCTCCTTCAGAGCCGCTCTGTGTTCTCCGTCTTAGTGCTCGGTGAGCAGCGACTTGGATTTCCCGACCCAGGTGATCCCGCTGAAGACTCTGAATGCCGTGGCCTCTGTACCCATCATGTATTCATGGTCTCCTCTGCAGCAGAATTTTATGGTATGGAAATCGTGTGTCATCTTATTTGGTAGTAACTTAGTTTAAATACATTTTTTTTTTCATCAAGATAACCGAAATAACAGTTATCAAAATGATGGCTCTTGGAGCAATTTTGAAAGCTGAATATAGTATGTATTAAGTATTGGTTGATTTGAAAGGCCAAGTTAGAGCGAGATGTAGGACAGGGGTAAGACCTTCCATCTGCGGGCACGCTCCTCCAGGGGGTCCGGCATTCCGGCCCTCTGGCTGGGTCAAAGGCAGGCTGAGCCTGGAGCTTCATCTCAGTCTCCTATGCTGGTGGGTTAAGCACTCTGTTTTACCACTTTTCCGGGAACATGAACAGGAAGCATGATTGGAAGTGGGGCAGGCAGGAGTGGAATCAGTGTTTGTATAGGATGCTGATGTGGCAGACAACAGTTTAATTTGTTGAACTGCACTACCAGGACAGTTTTTAAGTTGGTAATTTGGCTTGGCCTGTGAATGGTGTTACAGGTATACAAATGGGGCCTGGCACGATAGCTTAGTGGCTGAGGTCGTTGCCTTGGGATCTCATGGGTGCTGGTTTGTGTCCCAGCTGCCCCACTCCCCTTCCAGCTCCCTGTGTGAGGCCTGGAAAAGCAGTGGAGGATGGCCCAAAGTTGGGACCCTGCACCGCGTGGGAGACCCAGAAGAGGCTCCTGGCTTCGGATCATCTCCACATTGTCCATTGTGGCTACTTGCGGAGTGAATAGCAGATGGAAGAGCTTTCTCTGCTTCTCTGTGTAAATCTGACTACTTTCCAACAAACAAAAAACCAAATATACGAATGGCCTTTGATACAGATGGCCTTTGGCAGGGAGATATCATACTTGGCTAAGGATTATATTAAAATCTGAATTTTTCATTTTATATTTCACGTTTCCCTTATTTGTGTAAAGACCTGTTGTCTCTAGGAATGTTCCAGTTGGCTTGAGTTTATCTGTGCATTACTGGAAGGTTCTCCTTTTCCTCTTTCCTGCCTGTCACGTGTGTTTCGAGGCATGCCCTGTGTCATTTTCATATTAACCGTGGTCACGTTCCTGGCCCCAGCTTGTGCTGCCGCACACTTGTCTCTTCAGTCTCAGCCAATCTCTTCTGTAGAAGAGAGTTGGGTTTTTTTTTTTAAAATTCTGTTTATAATCACTACTTTGAGATTGACTAATCCTTACTTTGATTTACTCTTTAAATGTGCACTTTACAATAATCCAGTTTTCATCTATAATTCCTGTCCTTTTTATTTTTAATTGAAAAGAATGTCGTGAAGGAAAGCCTTTTGTTCCTTGTATACTTGTCTGTTCCATTCCTTCTGAAATTTTCTGGATTATTTCCTGCAAAGGTAGAACCTTTTTCTTTGTTGTGGTCTTCTTAGCCTAGATATAAACTCATTTATTATTATCTTTACTAGTTCAGTCTACTTTGATATATCTTGTTCATATCAGAATTAAAGTACTCTGTAATTGTACAGTATTCTTTTGCACAGAAGCATGGATTCTTTGGAATAAACCTTATTATACTATTGATGTTGTACTATATATCCCTACAATCTTACATTGAGTGTATCCATTAGCTAGATATCAAGTGAGGTTTAGAAATCTCTACTCCTATTCTGATAGTCTTTTTTGATAATCTTTTTACTTTAGTTAAGCTGCTGTCTACGGCATAGGCATCTCCTATGGATACTGATTTTTTTTTTTTTAAGATTTATTTATTTTTATTGGAAAGTCAGATTTACAGTGAGAAGGAGAAACAGAGAAGATCTTCCATCCACTGGTCTACTCCTCAAGTAGCCGCAACAGCTGGAGCTGAGCTGATTGGAAGCCAGGAGCTTTCCCCAGGTCTCCAACATGGGTGCAGCGTCCCAAGGCTTTCGGCCATCCTCTGTTACTTTCCCAGGCCACAAGTAGGGAGCTGGGTGGGAAGTAGAGCAGCCAGGATATGAACTGGTATCCATATGGATACTGGCATATGCAAGGCAAGGATTTAGCCCCTTGGCTATTGCGCCAAGTCCTTTAGTTATCTTGTATTGCCATTTAAAACATATTTTGGGACCCAGCACAATAGCTCGATTGGCTAATTCTTCCTTCGGGATCCCATATGGATGCCTGTCCATGTCCTGGCTGTTCTACTTCCCATCCAGCTTCCTGCTTATAACCTGGGAAAGCAGTAGAGCATTGCCCAAAGCCTTGAAACCTTGCACCCGTTTGGAAACCCATACGAAGCCCTTAGCTCTGCTGGCTTTGGGTCGGCTCAGCTCTGAATATTGTGACCATTTGGGGAGTGATCCTAGCAAATGGAAGATCCTTTTCTGTGTCTCACCTTCTCTTTCTGTATATCTGCTTTCTTAATAAGTGAGTGTTTAAATAAATAAATAAATAAACAAGACCCGTGTTGACACTGGGATGTCTGTTTTAAATTGTTTTTTTAAACTTTTAGGTGGAAGATGAAACCGTTTTACATAACATTCCTTATATGGGGGATGAAGTTCTAGACCAGGATGGCACTTTCATTGAAGAACTAATAAAAAATTACGATGGAAAAGTACATGGAGATAGAGGTGAGCCATGATTATTCCTTTGGAAAAATGGCTAGAGAATTCTCATACTCTGGTTTTGTTAAGCATAGGACATGAACTAATTTTTAATAATAACATTTAAACTGTAAAGGGTAGACATCTAGTCAGAAGCCCTATATTTTCTCTTTTTTTTATAAAGTAAGGTTTGAAATTTGTATTTGAGAAGCAGAGAAATAGTGTGTTCCATTTGCTGTTTCACTCCCCAGATGTCCCCAACAGCAGGGACTGGTCCAGCTGGAGCCAGGAGGCAGGACTCCATGTGTGTGGCAGACAGCCAAGTGCCTGAGCTGTCGCCCGCTGCCTCTGGGACGCACGGCCAGGACAGCAGCCCAGGCTGCCTGCTGCTGGTGTGGCCCAGGGCCTGCTCCTTCCCTGTTCTTGCACTGCACGCCACGTTTGCCACTTAATTATTCGTGGTTGGTTGTAGCATATAGTATAATGCAGTAACAGGGAAGTGAAATAGAAATTGCTTGGATATGTGGATTTTTAATTGTTTAGCAACCAGGACAATTAGAATTCATTCTCTGAGTGGCATGTAAGTGAAACAGCCCTGCTACTAAAAATAACCTTTTCTAGACTACTGTAATGCCCGAAACACAGTCGTTAACATCTTTCTGTCTTTGGGAATGTGTGTGGAGGTTCTGTTCAAAGTGTCTAGGAGGGTGGTACCCTGATTGTCGTCCATGGTCACTGTTAGTGTAAACCAAGTCTGATGTGACCAGTTTACAGGCCAGGTATGTTACTGGGGAGGAGGCGAACACCGTGATGAACTGCAGAGGCTGGGTCGGTGCTAGGCCTTGGGTGCAAGAGAAGGTGATAAGTACTGAAAGTAAGTTTTTCTTTCAAACTTTGAGTAAGAACAATCCTGAAGATTATCTGTCCTCTAAAGCCGAGTTTGAGCACCAGGTATTATAATATCGGCAAGCTGTGGTCTTTTCTTACAAATGAGAAAAGGAATATGTAAACATTTGTCATTGCCCCATTCCTATGTGCATTTCTGAACATCTTTAATGAATTTCAGAATGTGGGTTTATAAATGATGAGATTTTTGTGGAGTTGGTAAATGCTCTTGGTCAGTACAATGATGATGACGACGATGATGATGGAGATGATCCTGATGAAAGCGAAGAAAAGCAGAAAGATCTGGAGGACCACCGAGACGGTACGTCTGGTTATCGGTGCTTTTTGGTGGGCGTTATAGAGTGAATATTGAAAGTGATTCCTTTCTCTCCTTAGCTTTGTGTAAATCAAATTTACAGTAGTATCAACCAAATTAGAACATTATTTGCGACATTTTATCCTGCCTTTGAACATTCTTGTGCTTTTCTTGGTGTTAGCAGAGGAACCTAATTTTTTTGTGGGGCATCTGAACAGTCCCCTTAAGCATCACTGTAATATGACATTCTATACGTGTGTGTAAAATAGAAATAAGTAAAAAAAACTTTATATGCATTTGCCATAAGCATGTAAATTGTGTTCATCACTTAATATACATGGACTTAATCCTCATAAAGACTGCATAAGGTAGATATTGTTATAACATCCATTTGGTATTCAAGGAAGTTGATATAGAGGGATTAAGTTTTTATATGAAATTGTGCTATTGGGAGAGAGCTGGCCTCCTGAGCTCAGGTGAGAACCTGTCTGACTCTGGTTTGTGTGTAACTCTGGTTACGCTGTTACTGCCTGAGTCACTTACTGTCTGCAGTCTGTAGTGCTGTTAGCCGCTTGGCATTGCTTTTGGTAAAGGACGATAGAATAATTCGGGGAAAATTTGAATTTTAAAGATGTGTAGGTTTCTTTGTGTGTGTGTAATAAAATAATAACCTCGGTGGTGACTAGTTCAGCTTTTAATTTTAGATATAAATTTTAGATGGTTAAGTTAATGAGGCCCAGACACAAGAAATGGTAGCAGATTTGGGATTAAAACTTAGGTTTTTGCCTCCCAGAACTCTTAAACTTTTTTGTATTTATATCTGAATCTTGTGTTTAATCTATCGACATCTCATAAAAACATAAAATATGCTACAAGTGAAATAAAAAGTTGATTTCATAGACAGCTTTGTAGAAATTCAGTTATGTGGGGACAGTAAAAGATTGAAAACTGGTTTCTTTTTTTCCTCTTTCCTATTTCCCCATTTAGATAAAGAAAGCCATCCACCTCGGAAATTTCCATCTGATAAGATTTTTGAAGCCATCTCCTCGATGTTTCCAGATAAGGGCACCGCGGAAGAGCTGAAAGAGAAGTAAGACTTGCTCCTGCGAGGCAGTCCCAGCTGAGTTTGCTTGGACTCCCCTTCTTGTTGCTTTGCAAATGGAACAGATACAGCCACTTTTTGTGTATGATGTTATCAAGATATTTGAAGCAGTATTTTTCCCTGTGACATTTTATGCTATAAAGCTTATTATACATGGAATAAGGACATTTATATTAATGCACATACTCTACATATCTATAATTTATAGTAGTATAGTTAGAGGAAAATTTCTCTGGATATTCGTAGAATGTTTAATACAGTTGTCGCTTAACTAAAACTAATGCCCTTTTTCATGATATACCGTAATCGCTGCAGAGAATCTTAGCTTGATATACTGTATACTGTGTAATTGTCTGTAGAAGTTGATTTTGGTCAGATATACTTGTTCTTGTTGTAGGCAAGATAAGCATTATTTTCAGAAAGCGATTTTTTTTTTCTTTCATATTTGCTTATATTTTTCTTGGTTAATGTCAGATACAAGGAACTCACTGAGCAGCAGCTTCCAGGCGCACTTCCTCCTGAATGTACTCCCAACATAGATGGGCCACATGCCAAATCTGTTCAGAGGGAGCAGAGCTTGCATTCATTTCACACACTCTTCTGTAGGCGATGTTTTAAATATGACTGCTTCCTACATCGTAAGTGCAATTATTGTACGTTTGCATTTTCCATCTTTGTGGATTTATCTCTTAAAGCAACTTGAAAACTGATGTCATTTAATGCAGTTAGAGTTTTTATTGACTCTTAATAGTTAAGATTGAAAGATACGTGATGATCTCAGGATTGTTATCCTTACATTGTTGCTTAAGGGCTGTTTTGTGCACATTTAGTTTGGTCTGTTTTCCACTGGCTTGGACCACAGGTATGCACAGTGTAAACGTTAAACAGTTGTTGTATGAAGCTGCTGATGGCCCAGAGCAGCATCACTGATACTGACAGGATCTGTGCCATGACTTGAGCAGGGTGGGAGTTTGTCTCAGTGCCACTGCCTGGGTTTGCTTTGTCCCTTTTCCAAGTGCTGCTTCCATCTAGCTCCCTGCTGACACAATGGGAAGATGGGGAAGATGCCTGCCAGCCACATGGGAGACACCCAGTGGAGTTCTGATCACCTCAGCCTGGTGGAGCCTTGGCTCAGTGAGCCAGTGGATGGAAGAGCTCTCTGTCTTTCCCTCTCTTATCATTCTGCCTTTCAAATAACTATAGCTGTAACTACAGCTGTATGTCTGTTAATGTTTGTTTATTTAAAGAAATCAGCTAAAGCAAGTGTGATATTAATTCTTGTTTACTTAGTGGGTTTTGTTTTTTGTTACTTTATGATTTTTCGTCCTCTGGGTAAATTGCTCTGTACTCACAGAGTACTCTGTACTCACAGTAACTTCAGGGATGACTCAGTAGTCTTCAGCTTGTTGCTTGAGGTATTGGAGAGTTAGCGATGTTTGATCTGAGCTGTGTTACTTCACACAGCTCTTGAAATGATTGCCTCAAATTACATTTTAGTTTACATACCACTTAATTAAAAATGTCTTTTTTGTGCTAAGAATATTGTAAATTGCATTTGAATGTCGTTGTAAGAATTGGAGGCATCTCTGTTTTTGAGTTATTGATAGGGTCTTTCCAGTTTGTTTGTAGCTGTTGTATTTCATGGATCTTTTGATAGGTATGACCCTACAAAGTAGGATAACCACTTTTACGTGTTATTGCAAGAGTTAGCTTATTGTGTTCCTCAGATATGAGTAATTTGATGAACCTTGAACATGCTAATGATCTCATTCAAGTTGGAGAGAAGAGAAATATTTTACTGTAATAGAGATGACTTTCATGGTATCATAGGTTGCCCACTTGTGGTGGCCCCAGGCCCACCTTTCTGTTGGACTAGAATGAGTTTCTTCATAATCAAGCCTCAGTAAATTCTGTAGATGCTTTGTTGCTTTATATGAACTTGACATATAAGTATGTGTTTTTCTTTTGCAAAGTAAGTAAGTTGTTAAAACATTAAAATAAATGTCAAATATAACACTTTGTGACTCAGGTTGTCCCCCCACCCTCCCATATTGGAGATACTGTAGTGCCTTCTCTTAAAAGTGTAGTGAGGATTAAATGAATTACGAAGTGTGAAATACTTGACATAACCAGCTTTCACTAGCTGCTGTTGTCTTTTAAACAGGTCATCTTTGATGTTGTTTACACGTCAGCAGAGAACTAGAGTGCGCAGTGAGGTCTCCTCAGCACAGCTGCCTGCTGAGGCTCCAGCTCCCTTCTGTTGGTCACTCCGTTTTTTTTAATGTGTTCTTTCACAGTTCATTGGGAGTTGTTAAAGTGTCATCTTATTCAGATGGTGCCATAATGTTCTAATTTTTGTCTTTCCTGACTTTAGATTATGAATGGTTAGGCCTGTCTGTATGATAGTATGATACCATGGGAGGCTTTCAGAATTACCAAATTGGCCTCTTAACATGATTATTTTGGATTATTGTTTTACTGTAATAGTGAATAACATTACATGTACCTGTACCCATTTTCCACAAGTTCAAGTTTAAATGATAAACACAGTTAGTTATATGGATAGATGCTGTACACCAGCATTCAACAAACCTACAAGAAAACAAAGCTTGAGGCAGGCACTGAATAAAAATAAGAAAAGATCCAGAAATATCAGGACTAGGATTCTCTTTGTCCTTCAGTGCTCAAAAACCACGAACAACTCCGGAGCCTGTTTTTATTGTACGTGAAAGAATCAAACATTGTGTGAATCTGGGGTCTGTGCTTATTTGTGGGTTACAACGATTAGCAAGTACATCGAGTGATTCGTTGTTTGATTTGCTGTCCTCTTAGGTGCTAGGCAGTCTGGGTCTACAGTCAAGTGAACCACGGCTTATTGACTCCATGGTCTCCTTGGCAACTGGGCCTAGCCATAGGCATTGCATACATCCATCCCTGCCCTCTGGCAGCAGGGGCCCGGCCACAGTGAGGCATGCTACCACCTTAAATAGTCACAAGAAGAAAGGAACGCCATTTTTGGTCAACAAAGTGGAATCACCTGTCACACAGACTATGGTCTGGTCTAAAATCATGCCTTACTGACACCCGAGTTAGGCCAAAGCTAAAGCTAAGAATCCCAGTAGGAATGTGCCTATTTAAAAAACTACCAACAGAATAAATGATTGTCTCCTCAGAGTCCTGCCAGTAAAATGTGTTAGCAAAGTAGTTTTGATGTCTAATTGATTTTGTAAAGGGAAGGTTTTTTATATTTTTAATATTTATTTTTATTTGAAAGGCACATTTTTACTGAAAGGTAGAGCGAGGTCTTCCATCTATTGGTGACTCCTCACGTGGCTGTTAAACGTTACTTTAATGTCATGTTTCAACGACTTTTATCTTTCTGAAACCTATTTTATCTGACCCTGCGTTTCCTTAGAAAGAAGCCAGCTCTCATTAGGTTCTGAATTGAGTTTGAGTTTCAAACATTAGTTTTCAACAGTATGAGTTAGTGCTATGTACCTTTTTTCAAAGATATACTTATTTATTAGAAAATCAGAATCGGAGAGAAATCCTCCATCTACTGGAAACCTTGTCTTTCCGAATGCAGTGGTGTACAGGCCGAGCCAGCCCAGGCCGGGAGCCAGGAGCTTGGTCCAGGTGTCCCACGTGGGTGGGAGGGGCCGTCCTCTGCTGACCGGCGGCAGGGAGCTGGGGCAGCAGTGGGGCAGCAGGACATGAGCTGTCACCCACATGGGTGCTGTGTGAGGGAACAGTGCCAGCCCCTGTTCTTTTTCAAATGTGTCTTAGTGATGAATATCTTATTCTACCTTCCAGCTGACAATTGATTGTTGATTTTTTCTTTTGAGATCAAGAAATTGTAGCTGTCAGAATCCTTTTGATAAAACTAGTAGTGTTTTAAGAAAATATCAGCTGTTTATATGGGGAACGTTAAAGACCTATTGGAAAGATATGCTTATTCTGTGCATCAGTTCTATTCGCAAGGAGAAAATAAGAAATTACTAATGATTCTAGAGGTTGCTGTGTTAGAGGAAGCTGAGCAAAAAGCACATTTGACAACTTCAAGGAAAGTCATAATAAGAAATGTAAGAAACGTTTTAGGAAGGTTACAGTCTAGTATAATTGAGTTTTCACAGAGTAGTTAAAGATCTTCAAAGTCAAATATTTCGCAGTTGCAGTAGATGTTTAATTTGCTTTGCAGCTTTTCATGCAACACCCAACACTTACAAACGGAAGAACACAGAAACAGCCCTGGACAATAAGCCTTGTGGACCACAGTGTTACCAGCATTTGGTAAGCTTTACTGCTGCACAGTTCCCGAGGGTGTTGGAGAGGCCTTGACCTTGGACTGTGGTGGAGGTGGTGAAGTGAGTGCCAGCGTGGTCTGTCGCTTTGACTGGCCATGGGTTAGGTAGAATGTTCTTACCCATGTCATTTCTTTTATAGTCCATATACTGCACTTTCAGTCCTTCATTAATGTTTTATTATTTTTTGTTTATCTGTTACCTCTTCAGTGACGTTTCAAGGTCTTTAGGGTCAAGGACTTTGACCGAGTTTGTGAGAATGTGGAGCCGAGGTGGCCCAGGTAGAGGCAGGCAGGCAGGAAGCGCGTGCTGTGGCTCCTGCGGCCATGCGCCTCTCTGTCAGTAGCACTGTAGTTAAGCTGAATTAGAGATCCCAGGTTTGGTTGTTGTTTCTTTTGTTTTTGTTTTTGTTTTTCCTTTTCCTTTTTCTTTAAGTGATGGAGACAAGGTAAGGGGTTAGGAAAATATGAGGTAGGAAAGTTGTTTTTTACGGGTACTATCTTATTTTTACCATTTCCCCTCTTTGAACCAAGCCACTCCTACCTAGGAACTAAATGGGTATATATTGCCTGTTGGATTTTGGACAGAAGATTCATTGAATGGCACCTGCAGAAGGTATCCTATTTTTAAGCAATTTGGTTTGTGTAGAATGAAGTGTAAAACTGTTGGCTGCTCTCAAACCTCTCCCTGCTGTTTTCACTAAAACAACCACATTCTTGAGCACTGTTTTGTAATATTCTGTGTAAGGCAGAATTCCATTTGGCTCAGCTAGTACTTCGCTGTGGTCTCTGTAAGCCAGGCTCTTACTGCTGTTTGAACTTTCTGAGAATTGATAGTTGTACCTCAGTGCAAACTGTAACCCTCAGAGAGTCCTTTTCCGCAAGTTCCTTTCATGTCTTCCTGTGATTGCTTATCCCTCACAGGAAACGAAAAACAGGGTGTGTTAATAGTAAGACCAGGAGATGAGGAATTGAAGCATGTGTATTTTGTCTTCTCTAAATACTACTATAAAAGGTTACTGCTTTATCTTTACTGCTAAGGTAGGAGGTCTGAGTTGAAGCACAGCATTCTTTCTGTAAGAGATGCTCCTTTGTATATATGTGTGTACGCAAAAATATAGAAATAGCTACCTTTGCACATGAGAAATTCACGTTGTAGCTTAGTTGTAGTTTACATTTAAAACTATTGCCTGACAATATAGTGAACAAACATCTACCTTTCTAAAATCTTAAAGCTAAATGCAAATTAAAACAGTATGTTTAAATATATATGTATTTGTGATGAGTGGATCTTGTGATAGATATCTTGACTAACTTGTCTCATGTAATCTTTATTTTTTTGCTTTTCCGCCAAAACCATTGTAGAACTTCACCCTAATGCCCGGCCTTTTCATTTTGTAGGAGGGAGCAAAGGAGTTTGCTGCTGCCCTCACTGCTGAGCGGATAAAGACCCCTCCAAAGCGCCCAGGGGGTCGCAGACGGGGACGACTTCCTAATAACAGTAGCAGGCCCAGCACGCCCACCATCAACGTGCTGGAGTCCAAGGACACGGACAGTGACAGGGAAGCGGGGACCGAGACTGGGGGCGAGAACAACGATAAAGAAGAAGAAGAGAAGAAAGACGAAACGTCCAGTTCCTCTGGTGAGGCAACATCTGATAACTGGATTTTACCATTGCTTTCAGAGCTTCGTATTGGGAAGGGCAGAGATGTGTAATGCATTGGGCAGTGTCGTGCCTGGGTAGTTTTCATTAACTCGTGCCCAGTTGCTACTGTTCTGCCCTCACCCTCCCCTGGCGAGGGATCGGTAGCTCGGCTTATTTTCACTCTTGGTGCCGTGTGTTTTCTCTGCTTTTCTTAAGACATCATGAAATTCAGGTCATGTGACTTAATGATCTTGATGTTCTGTGATTTCTTTTGGTTAAAGAAAACGGATGAGATTGTATTTTGCTGATTGGATTTTAGCTCTCGTGACACGGTTATCACTATTCCTGCTTAGAATACAATTACAGCAGGTGTCTCCTGCCTGAGGTAGGACAATGATCTCTGCTGTGTCCCCAAGACTTGGCACCACAGGAGTGCCATCGTGTCCTCCTGCGGGTGCCAGAGACCCACCTTCTCTGGCCATCTTCTGCCTTCCAGGTGTACCAGGGAGCTAGATGGGAAGGAGTGCTCAGTGGAAATGACGTTGGCACTCGAGTGCAAGGAACCCCTCAGACCTCTGGCCCACCTGAAGGCACAATGGCAGGATGGTAGAATTAGTGTCAATATTATTTCTTGCTTCAGTTCATTTGAAAATATTACTTCCTTTCTGCTTTGTCCTTGAATACATCCTGATTTGACTACTTCATACTGTTTCTAAATCACCATTTTTGACCATTATTTACATCTGCCGTTACAGAAGCGAATTCTCGATGTCAGACACCAATAAAGATGAAGCCAAATATTGAACCTCCTGAGAATGTGGAGTGGAGTGGTGCTGAGGCCTCAATGTTTAGAGTCCTCATTGGCACTTATTATGATAATTTCTGTGCCATTGCTAGGTTGATTGGGACCAAAACATGTAGACAGGTAAGCATATCTGATAAATTTTATTATAAGAGCTTGAAATATAGATATAAATATGTACCGATTGTCCAAATACAAGGATATTCTTGATGGTTATTAAACACCTGTACTTGTCTTGAACAGAGTTAAATTTTGTCTTTTTTAACCTGAGAGAGTTGAGTGGAGATTATCCATCAGCTGGGTGGCAGTGGGCTTTGTATATATGCGGCCAAGTCAAGTACACACATAGCAGTTTACTGTTCTTTTTATTTTATCTTGATTTGAAAGGCAGATTTAGAGAGCAAGAAGGAGAGACAGATCTTGCATCTTCTGGTTCACTCCCCAAATGGCCGCTATGCCCAAAGCCAGATTGATTCAGAGCTGGGAGCCATAGCTTGCCCCAGGTCTCCTGTGTGGGTGCAGGGTGGACCTGGTCTTTGAGTCACTCTCTGCTGCCCTCCCAGGCCCTGAGCAGGGAGCTGGAGCAGAAGTGGAGCAGCTGGGACTCAAGCTCATGCCCATGTGGGATGGCAGTGTTGCAGGCAGTGGCTGAACTCACTATACCACTGTGTTGGCCCTTTTTTTTTTTAAAAAAGATTTATTTATTTATCGGAAAGGCTTAATAGCAGAAGGAGAAACATTCACGGTGCTCTTCCTTTCTCTGGTTCACACCCCAAGTGCTGGCACCCCTGAGGCTGAGCCAAGCTGGAGCCAGGAGCTGGGACTCCATCTGGATCCTCTGTGGGTGTCAGAGTCCCACGTTTCTGGTACCTTCCATCATCTGGTACCTTCCCCGGGGTCTTAGCCGGGGTTAGCCTGGACTCAGATGATGCTCTGGTAGGGGCTGAGGCCGTCCCAGGGGGCAGTCTAATTTGCTGCACGACCGTTGACCTCAGCGTCACTACTTTTGGCCAGAGTATGACTGCAGCTACTCTCCTTCCTAAAGGCAGGACTGGTGATTTCTGCTGTTCTAGGAGACAGAAACCGTTTTAGTAAAGATGGATGTAAGACGAATTTGCTTTAGAAAATATTGTCATGTTTGTGTGAATCCCTGCCGTCAGGTGTATGAGTTTCGAGTCAAGGAGTCGAGTGTGATTGCTCCAGTTCCCGCCGAGGACGTGGACACCCCTCCGAGGAAGAAGAAGAGGAAACACCGGTAGGTCTGCTGAGAGCGGGGCCAGAGCCGAGGCTGCGGGCCGGGCGCTTGCTGAGCGGGGCCAGAGCCGAGGCTGCGGGCCAGGCGCTTGCTGAGCGGGGCCAGAGCCGAGGCTGCGGGCCGGGCGCTTCCTGAGCGGGGCCAGAGCCGAGAACGCGGGCCAGGCTCTTCCTGCGGGGTGCCGCTCACTTCCTGCTGGTCCGTTAGACAAAAATTTAAAACTGCTCTCAGAAACATTCCCTGCAATCTCCTTTCCACTGGTAGTGGCCGTTATTTTTCTGTAAGAGTATAGCAGTATTCTGAAAATGTGGAATATTATGTGTTATATAAGTTATGGTTACCGTGCTGTATACTGGTTAGCAAAATCATAATATGGTTTAGTGGCTTTTGCCGTAAAGACCATCTAATTATTTCAGCATTTTGTTAGGAAGCATTGTGAAATGTGCTGCTGGGAGGTAGTTTTTAGGCATGTCTCTCTTTTTAAAGATTCATTTTGTTTGAAGAGAAAAAGAATGCGCTTCCAAGTGGTTACAACAGCAGAGAGCGGGCCAGACCAAAGCCAGAAGCTGGGAAATCATGTGGGTCTCCCTTGCGGGTGGCCGAGACCGTACTGCTTGAACCAGCACTTCAGCACGTGCTGCCGTGGTGGGGAGCTGTGACCAGCCAGGCACACCACGGTGGCAGGAACGATCTTAACCACTGGCCTGCATGTCTGCCTCTTTTTTTTTTTTTAAAGAGAAGTATAGTTGAGTGAGTAAAGGAATACCCAGATGTGTTCCAAAATTGTGGACAGGCTCTTGGTACGTTTCTTTAAAGATAGTCAGTTTCATTCAGAACTTAGAAAGTTTTCTCTGTAAAGTTTGGTCTTAGTAGAATCTTCCAAACTTTTGGTTGAATTATTTCTGTTCCTGTATCCCAGATGGATTAATAACATGGCTTGAAATTAGACAGTGGAATTCTGCTCAGAGTAAATGAGATACAAGGTGTGTCTGCTTGTAAGTTCTGAGCATAGTGGAGCCAGTGGCCCAGCACACGCCAGGCAGCTGGAGCCATCGGCTGTTTGGGAGTCGCTCTACGTTGATGGCCAGTGTAAGCTGGGGCGCACCTGACTGCTAGCTGCTTGGCGTCAGGTCCCTGCTCTGTGGAGGGCACAGGCCGAGCCAGTGGAGCCCGACCTTTCTCAGATTTTTAGCTGTGACCATACTTCCTGGCCTTATGACGAGTTTGTTATTTTTTCTCTTTGTATGTATGTTGTTTCTTTTTCTTTCTTTCTTTCTTTTGCAGGTTGTGGGCCGCACACTGCAGAAAGATACAACTGAAAAAGGGTTAGCATCTTTCCATTCAAATTCATTTGTAGCTTTAAACTGTCTTTGTGCATTTGGTTTAGAATAGTGACTGCATTAGAGTTTGGGTTATTCTGATATAATTGATTTATGTATGTTGAACCTGTATCAATGGAAGGTGTCTCTTTTATGAATGGCCAGTAAATGCTGTTTTGCAGAGACACCGATTGGATGGAGAGAGTCTCTTGATTGGAAAAAGGAAAAAGCAGTTTGGAAAAGATGCACTTTGAGACTTAGTGGCAAAGATGATGAGTCCGCAGGGGTGGGGGGTGATTTTTATCTTCATTTTGTTAACAGGACTTTGTGTACCATCCACAGGTGGTAGGGAACAGTGTACTCTTGTGAATTGTGTGTGATCCTTTTGCCTCTCCCTGGATTAATGGGCCTGCCTGCTGTTATCTTTACTCAGATGGCTCCTCTAACCATGTTTACAACTATCAACCATGTGACCATCCACGGCAGCCTTGTGACAGCTCGTGCCCTTGTGTGATAGCACAAAATTTTTGTGAAAAGTTTTGTCAGTGTAGTTCAGAGTGTAAGTATTTGTGGCTTGGGTGCAACTGCATGAGAACTAAGGCGATCTTTGGCCAGCATTTAAATCAAACTGCAGAGCCGGGGAGTGCTCCCCTGTTGCCTTAGGAGTGGGTGTGAGTGTCGTAACTGGCCTTCTCCTGGTACCCAGTCATTCTGCTGGGTAGCATGAGTGTGTGTGTGAGTGTGTGTGTGTGCGTGTGTGTGCACAGGACAAGCAAAACTGCATGAAAGGAACTGAATGCTTTGTTTCTGATCACTGATGTCAAGCCATCCTACACTTGGCACAGGATGTAAGGGGCATGAATCTGTTAGCTACAGGATAATTGTGAGGCAGCAGAGATGGTCAGCTAGGATTTAGTCTTCAGAATAAAAGAATAGGGTGATAATGTTTATATTTATTCAATGAAGCTGCACACAAACCTTGCCTATTAAGAAAACGATTGGAATGGTTATGGACCATGGATGTCTTGTAGTAGTCTAAACCCTTATTTCATACCTATTTTATAAATCATAGACCCTTAAATAAATAAACCATCTAACAAATAAAAAACAAACACGAGAACTCGGTGGTGTTCATTTTCAGTCCGGACTGCTTTTTCTTTGCTGTTAACTTCAGTTTCCTCAGCTGTGCAATGGGATGGATAATCAGGTGTTGTGAGGGTTCAATGTGAGTTGGGTGCCCAGCCCAGTGCGCTTACCTGCCTTGCTGCACATTTTTGCATGTGATGATGATGATGATGATGATGATGAACATCTCTCTGAAGGTCAAAACCGCTTTCCTGGATGCCGTTGCAAAGCACAGTGCAATACCAAGCAATGCCCGTGCTATCTGGCCGTCCGAGAGTGTGACCCTGACCTCTGTCTTACCTGTGGAGCTGCTGACCACTGGGACAGTAAAAATGTGTCCTGCAAGAACTGTAGCATTCAGCGGGGTTCCAAAAAGGTAACTAGCGTTCACTCTGTGGGGTCTTCCTGGTGAACCGCTGCACGTCGGCATGGTCCTCGGCCGCGGAGCGAGGAGCCAAACAGCCAAGTGGTTGTTAGTCTCCTTAGTGAAAATAAGGCCTGGGTGATTTCTTTCAAGCTCGAGAACTCGTTCTTACCAAATAGGCTTCTGGGGGCTGGCACCAAGGAAGGCTGAGCCACCTGCAGCTGTGCTGGCGTCCCAAGTCGGTGGCCACTTCCAGCCCAGCTCCCTGCTCATGGCCTGGGGAGTGTAGCGAAAGGTGGCTCGGGTGTTTAGGCCCCGCGTGGGAGACCCTGAAGGAGCGTGTGGATCCTGGGCTTGGCCTGGCTCAGCCCTGGCTCTCGACGGCCATCTGGGGAGTGAAGCAGTGGGTGAAGGCTCCTTCTCCCCCGCTTCCCTTTTCTAACTGTTTCAAACAAATAAGTAACATTTTAAAAAAGTAGTATTTTAAATATTTGAAGCCTTTGAATTGCACATGGGTAATTCTAATCATAGCAAAGTAAATATTGAGCAAATATTGTGCAGTACTGGGAAAATTCTGTCTTTTTAGGATAGATGATGATTTTTTTCCCTTTGGTTGTTTTTTCAGTAATAATAACTGACTTTTTAAAAAGATTTATTTACTTACAGGCAGATTTTACAGGGAGAAGAACAGACAGAAATATCTTGCATTTGCTGGCTCATTTCTGCAAATGGTTGCAGTGTCTGGAGCTGAGCCAGTCCGAAGCCTGCAGCTTCATCTGGGTCTCCAATGTGGAGGAGCCCAAGGGCCTAGGTCATCTTTCTCAGTTGCTTTTCCCAGGCCGTAAGCAGGGAGTTGAACGGGAAGTGAAGGAGCCAGGATAAACTGGAGCTCATATAGGATGCTATTACTTGCAGGTGGAGGATTAATTTGTTAAGCCACAGCACTGACACTTTTTAACCATGTAGTACTGTTCCAAGTGCTTTGTGTATGAACCCATTAATCCGATAACTCTGGATTAGGAATATCCATTAATTCCCTTTGTAGATAAGGAAGCCCAAGTGGCAGATTTCTTAAAATAAATTAGTAAGAAATCAAGTCTGGGCATTTTAGCCCTAGCCTCGCTGTGGTGTTGCTCCCGTGCCATCGTCTTGTGTTCAGATGTGTTTCGTGGGCAGGCATCTTAGTTTGTTGAACTCTGTTCCGTTAGATGCCATTGCAGTTGGTTCTCTTCCGGCATGCCACCTAAGTCCTCCTGATTTTGTCTGCTGTGTCTGAACCGAGGCCCACTGAAGCCTGTGGCATGTCCGGCATCTGGGTCAGGGTGGGTGATTTTTTACTGGATGTGCTTTAATCACACCAATGATCGTTTCCCAAAGCATCTTCAGACCTAAAAATCTTCCAATTTCTTTGCCTCATCCCATATTCACCATTGAATGATACACTTTTCCATTAGTTTGTTCAGAACATGGGTAACACTATCAGTATTAACATGTCATTGTTGTAAACATTTCTTAATTCTCAAGACAGAAGCCTATGTGGCTGCCTTTTACCTGCTGGATTTTATTTTCCTGATAACATTTAGCTGCTTTCTAATGAGGAGGGGATTTGGGATTTGGGAGACTTACTTGCCAAGTGAAGTCAGGATGGACCAGAACAGGGCTGGACTGCAAGCCTGGGTGGCCAGACAGCCTTTTGACAATTCAAGGATTTTGTGTAAAAATACTAATGAGCATATGTTTGGGAATGAATCCTTAACTGTAACGTTCACAGTGATTATCTTGGCATTTCAGCTAAAAATAGGATGCTAGACTGGGGGAAGAGGTGTAGGTGGCAGGGCTTCATGGAGAACTGAAAGTGGAGGGGCTGGTAATAGTAGAAACCATTGGGGGAGGGGGGGTGACTGGTGTTCCTTGGTTAAATCCAAACTGAAAGGCAGTCACTTAAGGCCGCCAAGAGCTAGTGCAAAGCAGAGGTGTTTTCTGAGACCAAGAGTAACTCTCCCGTCTCTTTTTCTTTTTGAAAGGACCAAATGGTTGCACTAGCGGGGTTGAGTCAGCCTAGAGCCAGTACTCAGAATTCGATCTGGGTTTCCCAGGAGGGGCCAGGGACCCAAGGACGCGGGCCATCCTCTGCTGCCTTCCAGGTGCCTCAGCAGGAAGCTTGGTCAGTAATCGAGGAGGGCCAGGATCCCAGGTCCAGGGCACAGAGTGCTGTGCCACAACACCCCCTCCCGCATGTCATCAAGGCCAAAGCTTTGTTTCTGCAGGTTGCCAGTGTCCCCAGCAGCTCTCATGTGACTGAAGTTTTGAATCGCTGTGTTGGAATAGGTCTGTCTCTGCTTTCCTCTATGAGAACATGATTGTGTTTTATTCTCTAGCATTTATTGCTGGCGCCATCTGATGTGGCAGGCTGGGGAATTTTTATCAAAGACCCTGTGCAAAAAAACGAATTCATCTCTGAATACTGTGGAGAGGTAAGGTGGACTCGGCGTGTGTTCTCATGCTCACTGGGTAAGTCCGCTGCGTTTGATTAGCAGTGAATAGAAAAATCACCTTCTGACATGAGCCTGGCCTTGTGGATTTGGGGTGCTCAGTAACTGGGGTGCTTCAGTTTTAGCCGCATGTGGCTTTTCTCACTTGGCGGGAACGAGGAGAACAGGCGCTTTGCCGTGTCGGGTTTGTCATGCTTCAGCTCGCAGTGGGAGTGGGAAGGGCCTGGCCGTGATCCTGTCCTCGGTGCCTTAGGGCTGGCGCGCAGGAAGCCAGGAGCCAGGAGGTTCCTCTGGGTCTCCCACATGGATACAGGGTCCCAAGGTTTTGAGTCGTCCTCCACTGCTTTCTCAGACCACAGGCAGGGAGCTGAATGGGAAGCGGAGCAGCTGGGACACGAACCAAAGCTTATGTGGGATTCCAGTGTGTGCAAGGCAAGGACTTTAGCCACTAGGCTACTGTGCCAAGTCCTAAGCATAATTGTTGAGCTATATTATAAGAATATTTGAGTTGGAATCCTTAAAACTGTTGCTGTTCTTATCAGTGTACAGAGCAAATGAAAAAGTGATGGGTTGCTGGTGATCTTTGTTCAGTGTTCTTAGGAAGATGGAAGGTCCTCGAGCTTTTGTGGGTACCAGCAGGCTGTGTTGCCTGGCCCAAAAACTGCCTTCTTGTGTCTTTCAGATAATATCTCAAGATGAAGCAGACAGAAGAGGGAAAGTGTATGATAAATACATGTGCAGCTTTTTGTTCAACTTGAACAATGGTATGTTTCTGAGCCACATACAAGTGCTTTGTTCCTCTGAGCTGCAGTTGGGGTCCTGGGCTGCGTGTTTGGAAAGGGCGATCATGCAGTGGCCTGCAGGAGCTCTTGAGCAGCGTGGTGCCTTCCACCCCCTGGCAGAGAGGGAGGGCTGAGCTGGCGGGCCCGACTCTCCGGGAGCAGGGTGAACTCCGGGAGCAGGGTGCTGGCCACGCCCCAGCCCGCCCCTGGGAACGCAGTCTGCAGGCCCTCCCCTGTGCTGGCCTTCTTGGTTCCTGAGCACTTGGGTGTGAGTAAGCTTGCCAGCCATCTTCACATCAGTACTTCTGGCATGGGAAAGACATGGAACATCATATTGAAAGTTATCTTCCAAAGACGGAGAACCAAAGGCTGCTGCTTTTTCTCTTGCTGTTCGGAGGGGAGCGATGATGTGATGGTGTGGGGTGTGCTCGCCGTGGAGAGAGGCTGCTCGAACAAGTGGTTTTTCATATGTAAATACATTACGTAGACAATATAATGAAAATAATATAATCTTACTTGTGAAAATGACTATTTTTATGTTGTGTGGGATTTAGATCCCTTTAAAAAAAGTTGTTCCGCTTAATAATACATAGTAAATAATGGTGTGAGGAAACCACCTTGAGTGGCCAGTGTTTGACTGTAACTCAGAGCAGCCACCTGCTCCAAGATGGCATTTAGAATGGGATGAAGTTCGCTGCGGGATCTTTACGCTTTTGAATTCAGACTCTGAAGAACTAGACCCAGTTGCATTTCCAGAATGTGTTTATTAATCCATAGCAAATTTTCCACCATATTTTTTTCCCCTTCTTTAGATTTTGTAGTGGATGCGACCCGCAAGGGTAATAAGATTCGTTTTGCAAATCATTCAGTGAATCCCAACTGCTATGCAAAAGGTGGGTAACCTGAGATGTCACGCGCGTTGTGGCGTGACGTGCCTGGCTGCCAACGAGGGCGGAGAACCTCCAGGGCAGCTGGGTCCCGTGGGCAAGCCGGTTCACGCTGCTGACCCCAGTGTCTCTCTCTTCCCAGTTATGATGGTGAACGGAGACCACAGGATAGGCATTTTTGCTAAAAGAGCCATCCAGACGGGTGAGGAGCTGTTTTTCGATTACAGGTTAGTTAAAAGCACGTTTCTCATTTCCTACGCGCATCGTGAGCCCTGGACACTGACTGTCGGTGCCTGGTGAGAACTGCTGTCGCTGGAGGGGGACTTCTCGTCCAGTCAGTCCCAGGTGATGTTGGCGTTGGGAAGGCGTTGCGTCAGGCTTCCCCAGCAGCGCAGCTCCTGCACGGCGGAGCTTGGTTTTAAGACGTGCAGCAGCCTATGCAGAGAGCGCTGCTTCTCAGAGCCGCGTGCACCTGCTGGTCCTTGTCCTGACCTTGAGTGCTTGGCGGTGTCCTGCACACAGTTACACGGTGTACCACAGTTACAGGGTGTCCTGCATACAGTTACACGGTGTACCACAGTTACAGGGTGTACCACAGTTACAGGGTGTCCTGCATACAGTTACACGGTGTACCACAGTTACAGGGTGTCCTGCATACAGTCACACAGTGTCCTGCATACAGTTACACGGTGTACCACAGTTACATGGTGTACTGCATGCAACCTTGCAGTTAGCACGGGTAGAGCGACTTCAGCTTTTCAGGCAAATACCCGTGGGTTATCTCTGCAGGGAGAGTCCCGGGGTGGGGGCCGCCAACAGCGATTACGAGGTACCTGTTAGGCCAGTAGTTTACACTTTGTCCTCAAGCTCTGTGAGCCCAATTTAACAAGCTGCACGTGTAATGTTCATTTAAATGCAATCAGGTGAATGTCTAAATAAATCCTGTAGCTGAATATAAATTCCACATAGAAGTTGTTTTTAGAAGCTGTTGTGGCGAAGTAGGCTCTGATAGCAGGTCTGAGGCAGGTCTTTGGGCGGATGCCGCAGGCCAGGCTTGCCCTGAGCCGGGAGAGGCGGTGGGCGGATGCCAGGCTTGCCCTGAGCCGGGAGGGGAGGTGTGTCTGGTGTCAGAGGGGGCGGGGGCTCCGCCCGGTGCTGCCCGGCATCTCTTGTCCTCCAGCTTTCACCTGGCTTCCGTTGCTCCTTGGCCCTTTGTCCTGGCGGCTGCAGTCATTGTTAAGTCAGGATTATTTCTCTAGTGACTTGAGGGGAATGCTTGGGTTGGACCAGATCTCCAAGTTGAGAACCTGCTGGCTGCTCTCCTGCTGCTTCGCGGTGACACAGCGAGGACACGCAGCTCTGCGTTGGGTGTCTGCCTCTTGGTTTTGTGCACCCTGGTTAGCAGGCGTGGGTGTTGGGAAGGTGGTCACTCTTCTCCATATGGTTTCAGATACAGCCAGGCTGACGCCCTGAAGTACGTGGGCATCGAGAGAGAAATGGAAATCCCGTGACACCTGCTACCTCCTCCTCCCCTGCCTCTGGAACAGCTGCCTTAGCTTCAGAACCTCGAGTACTGTGGGCAATTTAGAAAAGGAAAATGCAGTCTGAATTTCTGAATTTGCAAAGTACTGTAAGAATAATTTATAGTAATGAGTTTTAAAATCAAGTTTTTATTGCCTTTTCACCAGCTGCAAAAGTGTTTTGTACCAGTGAATTTTTGCAATAATGCAGTATGGTACATTTTTCAATTTTGAATAAAGAATACTTGAACTTCTGCGTGTTTGTTGAGTCAACTAACATTAAGCTTCATCAGCCGGCTGTAGAAAAGGACTCTTTACCGAGAACACCTCCAAACTACTCCTTCCTGTGACTTTGGATACCACTGATTGATGAGCAGCATGTTGATTTGCATAATAGTGCATTGCATAGTAAATCGATAGTTTAGTAACAGATAACAGAATTTACTAAGGCAGCAAATGGTAATATTGCCTGTTAGTATGTAGAAGACATCTGTAAAGGTTTTTTTAGTTCTTGCTTTTGTTTCATTTTGTTTTAAATATTACTTACATAGTTGAGAGGGATGCAAACGTGTGGGTCTCTGATTAGGGTGGGGTAGCGTTTCCTCCTTTGTCCACAGGAGAGGGGGCTCCTCCAGACCGCGTCAGCACCCAGGGACGGTGGGGACGGTCGTTTGATGAAGCCTTAGTCCCCGATGCGAGAAGCATGTTCTGAGGGTGTTACTTGAGTGGTTGTGATGGTTCTGAGATGTCCGCTTCGTTGCTCCAGGGTTGAGAAAGTCCAAGGCCCACCCAGTGCATCCACAGGCGCAGGAACTTGCTGCAAAGCTCGGCCAGGAGGGGGCTGTCGCTTGTTCTCTCCGTCCTCTAGACAGGCTGGCTGTCCTGTCCCTGTGTGCCTCTGGACACACTGCTCACCGCACAGCTATCAGCAACTGAGCAGGTCCGGTCCCGATACATACACTCCGAGGTTGGGCCATACATCCTGTGATTTTTCCTGTGACGGGGGTCTGAGTCCAGTGGTCTGCTTGGAGAGACCCCCAAGAAACATGCCCTGGAGTGACCTCAGACATGACCAGTGCAGGGTCGGGTTCAGGCCACCTGCACCAGCCAGCGCATTCTGCTGGATGCCGTTGCCTGGTCAGTTCTGCCACCAGGCCCATCTTTCACGTGATCTGATGGGTGCTGTGGCCTGTCTCAGTCAGGCATGTCCCCCAGCCCCAGCTTTTATGTGTACTAGTTGGTGGTGGGTGATGCTATTTACCCAGCCCAGGTTTCCCACATGGGTGGGTGCCTTGGCCTGACCCAGACATACCCTCCTATTTCCCCCTCTGAACCAGTCCATCCCAGCTCCCTCACCTACCTGCAAGTGCAGTGGCCCAGTCCGTGGAAGACCCCAGAAGTCATTCCGTCCCTGTAACCAGTCCTCCAGTATGTCCCTGGACCCTGTTCCCCAGGCAGTCAGCAGCACCTTGCCCCTCCCCGCCAGGGCGTGTGTCTGGCCCAGTGTTTCCTGCATTCCGCACTTACCTTTTGAAAAAAAAAAAAAAAAGGTAAGAATAGGCAACATGCTGTCATACTGGTATAGTTAACACAAATTTGGCAAAAATCTGGCTCATAGTACCTGCCAGCTCCTGGCTGCTTTCTCCCAGCAGTGCAACACTTGCCTAGGTATAGGGCAACCTGTGCGGTTGCCTACAGCTGGGGACTTCTTTGCAGATTAATATATATAAATAAGAATTTACGTCGCTGTTGCTTGCCCATGACTCCAATCTCTTACGTGTTAATCCTAAGGTCTCTCCCAGTTGTTTGTTCTTTTTAAAATTACTTTTTGTTTGAAAGGCAGTTACAAGAGAAAGAGGGCCACTCCCTGAATGGCTGTTCTTGCTGGAACTAGGCTGGCTCAAATTCAGGAGCCAGGCACTTGTTCTGGGTCTCCCATGTGGATGTACAGGGTCCAAGGACTTAGACCATCCTCTGCTGCCTTCCCAGGCCATTAGCCAGGGACTTGGACCTGGAGTAGAGCTACCAGGATTTGAACCGGTGCCCATGTGGGATGCTGGTGCCACGGAAGGAGGCTCACCGTGCTTTGCCTTGGTGCCGGTCGCCTAAAGCTAGCGCTAAGGAATGTTGTCTCTGTTCTCACTCATGGTCAGCTGCGGATTCAGAATAGAAATTCCCAGGGTTTGCTCTTGGCACACAGCAGGTCAGTCCTGAAACAGGTTATTTTATTACGTTGGTTGGTCATTTCTTTTTGAAGCCTCCATGATGTCACTCCTCACTACCACCTGAAGGCCAGTTCAGAGGTGGCTGGGCTCTAACAGTCATTGCTGAGAGCTCACTGCAGCCACGGCTCTCTGTGCAGTCGGTAACCGGCAGGGGGAGCAAGTCCAGCCAGGTGCTGTGCAGTAGCTCCTCGGTCCCCAGTGTAGCCTTGGTGGGGCGCAGTGATTTTGAGCACTGTCCAGTGTCATTGTTTTTGCTTTATTTTCCTCGTCCAATGCCTGGACCCCCAAGGTTGGCCCAGCCTGAAGCCAGGAGCCCAGACCTCCATCCAGGTCGCCTTTGTAGTACCAGGGTCATGAGCTCAGGAGCCGTCTGCCGCCTCCCCGGATGCTTTAGCAGGAGCTGGAGCAGAAGCGGGGGTGCTGGGACTGAGATGCAATGTGGGTGTCTCCCGGGCTGCGGCCTGGTGTCCACGAACAGCAAGCGTTTTATACTGGGTTTAGAAATGGCACTTCTTGGGCCCGGCACGATGGTGCAGTGGTTAAGGTCCTTGCCTTGCATGCCCTGGGATCCCATATGGGCGCCGGTTCTAATCCCAGCGGCCCCGCTTCCCTTCCAGCTCCCTGCCTGTGGCCCAGGAAAGCAGTGGAGGATGGCCCAAAGCTTTGGGACCCTGCACACGCGTGGCAGACCTGGAAGAGTCTCCTGGCTTCGGATCGGCATAGCATCAGTCGTTGTGCTCACTTGGGGAGTGAATCATCGGACAGAAGATCTTCCTCTGTCTCTCCTCTCTGTATATCCGCCTTTCCGATAAAAATAAAATAAATCTTAAAAAAAAAAAAAAAGAAATGGCACTTCTTGGGCTTGGTGCCATAGCCTAGTGGCTAAATCTTCACCTTCCATGTGCTGGGATCCCATATGGATACTGGTTCTAATCCCGGCAGCCCCACTTCCCATCCAGCTCCCTGCTTGAGGCCTGGAAAGGCAATCGAGGACAGCCCAAAGCCTTGGGACCCTGTACCCGCGTGGGAGACCTGGAGGAAGTTCCTGACTCCTGAGCTTCAGATATTGTAGCTACTTAGGGAGTGAACCAGTGGACGGAATATCTTCCTCTCTAAATCTGCCTTTCCAATAAAAATAAATCTTAAAAAATAAAAGGCACTTCCCCAAACATACTGAGTAGCTTCTATGACCATGAAGTTTTTTCTGACCAGAGATACTTGACATATACCCATTTGACAGATGCTGGTGGCCCCCCCCAGCTGCAGTCAGGCACCGCAGAGCAGCACTGCTTTGCTTGTCAAAATCCTTTTCTAGGTTATCTTCTATGAGAGTGCTTCAAAAATTTGGAAAATAGTTAAAATGTATATTTAAAAAACCTTGGATTTTTTTGGGGGGGGCAGGTTTTAGATTACACTTCTACAGATTCTGAAATATCCTTATCAAAGTGAGTTAAAACCACTCACCCGGAAGCTGCCGTTCGTTTTTTCAGCGCTTGCTGGCTCGCGCCCTCCCAGCCTTCTGTGTATTTCCGCCTCTGTCCAAGGTGCCGGGGACTCTTGTCAAATGTCAGACATAAACCAACAGATATGAGTGAGGGAGAGTGGCAAGTAGGCCATTAAAACAACGTGAATAAGCACTTTAGAAGATTAATTTTTATAGGAAAGGCAGATCAGATTTTATGGAGAGGAGAGGCAAATATCTTCCATCTGCTGCTTCACTCCCCAAGTGGACACAGTGGCCAGAGCTGCACCAATCCAAAGCCAGGAGCCAGAAGCCAGGAGCTTCCGGGTCTCCCACATGAATGCAGGGTCCCAGGGCTTTGGGCCGTCCTTTGCTGCTTTTCCAGGCCAGGATGGGAAGGGGGGCAGTAGGGACACAAACTGGCACGCTGGGATCCCGGTGCTTGCAATGTAAGGATTGGACCATCGAGCCATTGTGCCAGGCCCTGAGGTTGAGCATTTTGGAAAAACTAATGTTTTTGCGAAAAGAAATACATACTTATTCCTTTTACTGTTACAAGCATTCCAGTGAGGCTGCCTGTGGCCAAGGAGGATTAGAAGTAGCGACACACACACTCACCTGTTGGGACAGTCATGTCGTCTGCCACAGGACGCTCGGGTCCAAGAAAGTCCTCGGGCAGGCGGAGTGCTGTGACTTCTGCTAACCTCTACCACCTGCTGCAGCAAAGGAGCAAATAAAGCAGGTGTGAGTCAGCACGCTTGCGTTTTCACATGGGTATGGGGAAATCAATTTCAGAGGAAAACTAAACCAATGTTCAATAATTAGCAAACACTTCAAAATGTTTAAATCAAAACATTTCATTCTTGGGGCCCCATAGTTCAGCTGCTTTGTCGCAGGCAGTGACAAGGGCACGGTCCCTTCTTTGCACACATGTGACACCAGCCCCACCTAAGGGGCTGCTGCCCTCACGGTGTGGAGACAAAGTCCCCCTTGCCTGGTCTCCCCACCGGGCAAGAGGAGTTTGCTTGGGACCCAGGATCCAGCCGGACACACCCTGCTCCTCTGCCCTGCCGAGGCTGCAGTGGGTTTTTATTCCGAGTCATCAAAGGAGGGGTTCCAGTGTCGTGCTGGATTAGAAGGCGAACCTCCGCTTCCGGGAGCAGGTGGGCAGGTGCTGTGCCCGCTCCGACTGTGGATTCAGTAGCAAGTGCCATTTCCCTTGGTTTTGGTGGCTTTCTGAAACAGCTCCCGTGTGGCAGCAAGCAAGGCTGGAGGTCGCCATGTCCATCAAAAACATCCTGCTTGAGGCATCCGCTCACCGTCTCAGATGCCTGGGATTGAGTACCAGCCCTGCCTAATGGGGCACAGCCTAAGGCAGCATGTTCATTCAGCTGGCCAGGTCCCCCGACCCCACGCCTGGCGGGCGAGGGCCCGAGGCCATGTGGGCGGGGGGGAAGCAGTGCGTGCAGTGCATGAAGCATCTGCCTCAACCTTCAAGTCAAGGTGAACACGTGTAGGTTACTGATACGGGGCTTGGACCTGTCCCACCTCACGTCTGCAGAGTGC